CCAGGCTGAACCCCCCCAACTCTCCCAGCCTGTCCTCCCAGCAGAGGGGCTCCAGCCCTCCCAGCATCTCCGGGGCCTCCTCTGGCCCCGCTCCAACAGCTCCGTCTCCTTCTGCTGGTGGGACCCCCCGAGCTGGAGGCAGCACTGCAGGGGGGTCTCCCCAGAGCAGAGCGCAGCAGAGGGGCACAGTCCCCCCTCGCCCTGCTGGCCACGCTGCTGGGGATGCAGCCCGGGATGCCGGTGATTCTCTGGGCTGCGATCGCACATTGCCGGCTCATGGGGAGCTCCTCACCCACCAACACCCCCAAGCCACCCCCATGCAACCAACAGCTCTACCTTGACCTAAACTGAATAACCACCCTGCACGTCTTAGTAGCAACCATTCGCTCTTCCCTGCCTTGAATACGCAAACGAACCAGGCTGGCGGTGCTAATTGTGCATGAAGAGAGATTCGGTTCAGCTGAGAGCCCTCAGTCACTCCAGCCCTGCCAGGTCCCCCCCGGGGGGAACCGCGGGACACTCAGCAGTAGCAGCAGATCAAGGCATTCTTACCGAAATTACTGTACAAACCTGATCAAGCATCAAATTTTGCTCTCTCTAATAAGAAAGATGTCTACTAGCACACCGCGCAGAAACTGGGAAAAAACCCCAACTAGTGAGCCTGAGTGTTTCTTTTAAGTAATAATTGCTATGTAGGAAAAAAAACCCAACAGTATCTTACCTGCTGTGACGTGCACCAACAACCAAATCGCTGCGGGCACAATCCGTGCAAACAGCATTTTTCTCCCTATAGAGAAATGAACACCTTTTAGCAGTTCCTAAAAAATGGGGAAATAATTTACAGATATTTGTATTTTACTCTTTTGCAACCTCAGAAAATCCCAAATGCTGATTTCATGAAACCTTTCGAACCAACGTTCTCTGCTAACGTTGCTGAGTTGTGACTCTGGAGGCCCTGCCCGCAGCAGCAGGTGATTTTTCGGCAGGCACAAGAGAGAGGGGAATGGCAGAGCACTTTAAAACTCAGTGCTTTAAAACCAGACAGCTCTGTGCTTTAGAAAAAAATCAATATTTCCTCCCTTCCCTCCCAAAGCCCGGAAAAAACCCACCCTTTCTGTGAAGGACAAGAACGAACCCTCAGTGCTGTTTTTTTCTCCCCAGGTTCTGGTTTGCACTCCTCGCTCCGGCACAGCCCGCGCGCTCCCGAAATCCCACAGCATCTTTGGGAGGGAGCAGCCCCATTCCTGCCTCCCCCCGAGAAGGACCCTCGCGCGCCCTTCAGCAGCTCTGTGCAGGTGTCCCCCCAAAGCCAACCGGCCCCATCTCCTCTCCGATGACTAACACAGCCTCGAGGCTCCCAGACCTGAGTATTACATATAATTTTGGGTAAGACCTTGGGAACCAGCAACCTTACCATTTCTTTAGCCTCCTTTCCAAAGGGAGCGCCGTCCCACGCGGCGTATTCGCCACTCTCTCGCTCTGCCCCGACGGACCGAGCCGCGACCACGCGCGCTAAGCACACCGCTGACGGCGCGACCGAACAAAACCCCTTTGAAATGTTTTAAACTCCACAGGATGGCCCCAAAATCCTGTCCAAACTCAAAGCTGTGCCGTATCTAGACTCGCTAGGTAAAACCCACGCTCCAGCACTGGACGTTCTGGGTACAAACATTTTACACAGATTATTCGAGGTCAGCCTGAACTGAGCTCAGTATTTTCCCATATATTTCGCAACCAGCGTTAACAACTGTTTCCTTTTTTTTTTGACCCTTTCCCCTGCAGAATGACAGGAGCTGTGAGAATACGTCGGATGCTTCGGAAGCAAATACGCCGACAAGCGCTGTCTGTAAGTCCTGACCTGCCACGGAGACGCAGCTATTTTAATAACTTGATGCCATACGGGAAACAAACCATTGTTAAGTGAAACTTTAAATTCAGACCACTTTTCGTGCCGTCTCGGATGGAGGGGCACTTCCATGGGGATGCACTGCACAATATAATTTTTGCTACATGTATATCAATACAAAAGCATCCAAAAAAAGTTACTTCAGGTTGTTTTTATATAGCGAGACGGGATCCGTTCTATCTTTTTTCAAGTGAAATGCTATCTGAGGTGAACGTGAAATACCTAAGATTTGCCAAAACGCCTATTAACACCTCGCTTTATTTAAATACAGATGGGTTTCGGACTGAATATTGTTAAGCTTTGCTGCAGCGCCTCAGCTTTACGAAAGGCGCTTCACGCGGTGCCTTCTGTAGGTGATTAGTAACTGCAAGGATGAGCAATCGCAGCGCCAAGGTTCTTCAAGGAAATGCTCTGCCTTCCAATAAACTGAAATCGCCTGGTGACTGTGTAAACATCCTTCAGACGGCTTGCTTTCTGACAGCAAAACTGTACCCCAAAATACTCGAGTCAACGGACAAAAATAGTCTCGCTTCAAATAATTTTAATCAGTGGTTGACTTAGGTAAGTGCTAGACAATTTCTGCGGCATCATATGAGTGCAGCAGAGCGTATGAACTGCGCTCAGAGCAAACGATGAGAAAAGAATGAGAAATAACCTTCAGCTTAGAGCAAAGGTACGCGGAAAAAAAGAAAAATTTAAGAAGGAAAAAACCTCCAGATTCCACATCAATGAGGGAAAATGGTATCGCTGTGCACAGGTTAAAGAAAATATAAAGGCTGTTGTCCTGGTAAGTGCAAGGTAGAGGAAGCACATAAGGCGTTCACTGAGGAGGAGATCATGACTGTGCGTACTCATCGCTACGAAATCGCAGCTGAAAACACAAGCGCTGCAGAGCGAACATTTTGTTTCCCTATGGACTCACCGGCGGCTGGTTGCCGCAGTAGGCCCAAGCCCTTGAACGAAATCACTCGGAAAGCACTAAAGCTCTGTAGCTCGCTTTTAACCAACTTTTGATGCCCCCCACTTCTCCCTAAGAAAAGCTCAGCGCAAAGCAAACGTCTCTTCTAAGGGAACGTGGAACCTGCGGGCACAACCGACCGACCGCCGGTGGAAAGAGGAACACTTCTCACTCTCACATTTTGCCAAGAAAAAAAAAAACAACCCGTTATTTGTGCCCAAGCTGTGCTGTTGCTTATGTATTGCTAATAACACCAGCGGTATTTTTAGGGAAACTTCCCACTGTCAGCCCGCGGGTGAGGGCCGCTCCGGCTGCCCTGGCTGCCGCAGGCCCAGCGAGGACAGTGGTACCCGGTGCTCTGGGGCTGAGGAACGGCGGCTTGGTGCCGTCCCGCCCGAGGGCAGCGACTCTGCGCCAGAGCTACTGAGCCCGTGGTATTTCATAAGACCTCACCGTACGAAGGAAAGGGACGGCGTTATTACTAGAGGACGGCCCTTCAGCACTGTGCTCCCTTAAGCAGCTCCGTTCCAGGGTGCAGTGAGCATTCTGGGACAGGCAGTATCCCGAGGCAGTGAGCATCCCAAGGCAGGCAGCATCCCGAGGCAGGCAGCATCTCAAGGCAGCGAGCATCCCGGGACAGGCAGCATCCCAAGGTAGTGAACATCCCAAGGCAGGGAGCATCCTGAGGTAGTGAGCATCCCAAAGCAGGCAGCGAGCATCACAGGGCAAGCAGTATCCTGAGGCAGGCAGCATCTCAGGGCAGGCAGCATCCCGAGGTAGTGAGCATCCCAAGGCAGCGAGCATCACAGGGCAAGCAGCATCCCAAGACAGGGAGCATCCCAGGGCAGACAGCATCCCAGGACAGGCAGCATCCCAGGACAGGCAGCATCCCGAAACAGGGAGCATCCAAGGGCAGGCAGCATCCCAGGGCAGAGAGCATCCTGAGGCAGGCAGCATCCCCAGGTAGTGAGCATCCCAAGGCAGAGAGCATCCCAGAGCAGGCAGCATCCCAAGACAGGCAGCATCCCAGGATAGGGAGCATCCCAAAACAGGGAGCATCCCAGGGCAGACAGCATCCCAGGGCAGGCAGCATCCCACGACAGGCAGCATCCCAGGACAGGGAGCATCCCGAAACAGGGAGCAACCCAAGACAGGCAGCATCCCAGGACAGGGAGCATCCCGAAACAGGGAGCATCCCAATGCAGGCAGCATCCCAGGACAGGGAGCATCCCGAAACAGGGAGCAACCCAAGACAGGCAGCATCCCAGGACAGGGAGCATCCCGAAACAGGGACCATCCCAATGCAGAGAGCATCCCAAGGCAGGCAGCATCCCGAAACAGGGAGCACCCCGGGGCACCCATCCGCGGACCGCTGCCTTTCCCCGCTCCCCTCTCCGTTGCTGCCCGCGCCGCCAGCGCCCCGCGGATCGCTCCTCAGACCGAAAAGCCGCGGGCTGTGTGGGGAGGAGAGATGCCCGTCCCCGGCAACCCCCCC